ACCATGTTTGAGGTATGTATTATCAGTCATGTATCCGCTTGGAATGGTCGCCGGTCCATTCTGGGTTCTAGTGGCCTAGTCTTCCCACTAGAGTGTGCACATGGTGTCCGACATCTTTATGCTGGCAGATGAGATATCAGTCATGTGATGATTATCAGTTCATGCTTATTCAATACCGGTTTCAGTTCAGGTTATGTATATGCCAGGATCATGATATTGTAATTATTTTCAATGTTTACTTTAGTATGAGTTCCTACGGAGCACAGTGGACTTTAGTGCTCACACCCCATGTTATCTATGTTTTTTAGGTCACAGAGTCGGAGCCGAGGAGTGAGCTGGCGGGCAGTTCAAGATTTTGTTTATATGTTTGAATTTGGCATAGCAGTGCTGTTACTATCTCCCGTAGTGGAGTTTAAAATGGTTTTACCACGCTACGTTTTCCGCTGATATTTCATGTTCGTCAAACTTAGCTCTTTTGGATCTGATTACCAGGCGGATTGTTTATATTATGATAAATCGTTTTTCTTAAAAACTAAATTTATGGTTTTTCAGGTAAAATCATTGTTACGGTAGCACTCCGAAACACGATTTCGCAAGCTAATCAATAATTTTTATTAAAAGGTTTTGCGAAAATTTAACTTTGATATTTATGACATACGGGGTATTACAGGGACCCTATTTCGCCTTACCTTTTTATTCTGGTGATGGAGAGACTGGCGCACCTTATCCAGCAGAAAGCTGAGCAAGGCTTGTGGCGACCATTCTCGGTAGGCCGTGGTGAGGTAGCTATTTCATACCTTATGTTTGCTGACGACCTCTTGCTATGCATGGAAGCTTCAATAGTTCAAGTAAACATGCTTAACGAGGTGCTATCCGGTTTTTGTAATGCCTCGGGATTAAAGGTGAGTGCTTCCAAAACTAGCATTTTCTTCTGGTCGAACGTGGACAAACGTGTCAAAAAACACATTGCTCAGATAACGGGCTTCTTGAGGGTTGATAATTTGGGTCACTACCTTGGCATGCTGCTCATTCGTGGTCGGCTTAGTAAGCATACCTATGAGGGCATTTTGGAGAAGGCCAAGAGTCATCTAGCTGGGTAGAAATCCTCATCTCTTTCGATGGCTCGTAGAGTTACTTTAACCTAGCCAGTGGTGAGCTGTCTCCCATACTACTCCATGCAAACTGCTGGGATCCCGTCGGCAGTTTGCGAAGGATGGGAGAAGAGCTATCGTAAGTTATATGGGTGGCTCCGACACTGCAAACAAGGTGCATCTGGTTAACTGGAACTCAGTATGTAAGCCCAAAGAGGAGAGCGGGTTGGGGTTTAAAACCAGAGACGGGTGAATATGGCGCTTCTTATGAAACTAGCTTGGGGCCTCCTAAGTAAACAAGATTCTCTATGGGTTAGAGTCCTATGTGCCAAGTATAAGCTCCACCATAGTTCGATGCCGGCTAATTTTCACTTCCCGATGGGCTCGGTGGTGATTCGTGGTCTGGCCCGAGTATGGCCGCACATGACAAAGAGGGCCAGGTGGTCATTGGGGGCTAGGGCTCGGGATCACTTTTGGTGGGACAACTGTTTGAATTGTCCCACACCCTTAATCAACCGTGTGCATGGAGTCATACCCGAGGAACAACTGACGTGGACTGCTTCGAGATATGTACATGAATAGGGGCAATGGGATTGGCAAAGGTTCTCGTCCTGGTTGCAGCCATCGGACCTCCTCCGTATCTTCGCGATTCTCCCTCCTCAAACATGGGCTGGACACGATAGGCTGTTTTGGGACTGGCCATCTAACGATCCGCTCCGCATACACCTCTTTGACTCTAGTTGTTCGTGATGCGCATCGCCGGCTGTGGACGATGATTTAGAAATGGGTCAGACCTCAAATAATTTACTAGTTCTTATGGCTAGTCGCGATAGAGAGGCTCTTGACGAACGATGAACGACATAGGCGCCACCTAGTGGATAGTCCGCTATGCGAGCTCGGTAGATCTCACCCGGAATCGATACTTAACGTGCTACGAGACTCCGATGTTCTGTGCCAATTTTGGAAGAAGTTGGTGCCTCGCTCTAGTTGGGGAGTGTTTTTTGGCATGGAACTGGATAAGTGGTTGGAAACAAATTTGTCTAATCAACTGAATATCCTAGATGAGAGCTGGGATTTCACGTTTGGCGTCAACCTGTGGCGTCTTTGGCACCGCCGGAATAACTTCATTTTTAATGGTACCGCCCCCTTGGTTGACGGTAAATTACATGAAGCCCGAAACTATGTTGACTTTGTTCAACAAGCGAGCTTGAGCTTTCGGACTCTCGGGCTCAGTAGAACCCAACGCCTAGATCACATGATTTATTAGGAACCCCCGATGGAGGGGTGGATTAAGTGCAATTCAGATGGAGCTTTTAACACGTCCACGGGCATGGCGAGTGCGGGTGGTCTCTTGCGTGACCATTATGGAGATTCGTCGATGGTTTCGTCATGAACATAGGTTTTAGCTCCATTATGGGAGCGGAGATATGGAGGTTTCTGCAAGGATTGATGCTTGCATGTGAGTTGGGGTACCGCCGAGTTTTGGACGATGTAGATAGCAAGGCGGCGGTAGATATGGTGAATGGGCAGATTGATGCGGAGGGAGCCCACAGTAGCCTAGTTCGGGCTATTAAGGAGTTGCGGAGCCGAAAATGGATTGTGGAAATTAGGCATGTTTACCGAGAATCAAACTTCTAGGCGGATTATTTAGCTGCACTAGCGACTACTAGTCCTGGAGGTTTACAACGCATCGAATTCCCGCCAGCTGGGCTAAAGCCATAGTTGGAGCACGACTTGGTTGTAGTAGGGCATAATTTCAAAATTGGTCCTATAATTTGGCCACATTCCAAAAACCACCCTGATATTGACCACTTTCAAAATTAGTCCTATATCTTCAAAATTTAATCAAATTTAGTCCTTTTTATCAAGACTACGGATTAAAATGTGATTAAAAAAGGACCAAATTTGATTAAAAGATGATCAAATTTGTTTAAATTTTGAAATTATAGGACCAATTTTGAAAGTGGTAAATATCGGGGTGGTTTTTTGGATTGTGACCAAATTATAGGACCAATTTTGAAATTAAACTGTTGGAGTAGCATACCTACACAGGATAGCTTCTTAAGCTTCCTCTTCCCTCTTTCGTGCCAAAAAAAAAAAAAA